TCAGGTAAACGAAATGGATCTGAACGGACGGGGAGCCGTAGGCGGCCACGCGCATGACGTCGCGGTATTTCTGCTTCAGGGCGGAGCAGGCGACGACCACGCCGGACGGAGGGAGGTAGTTGTTGGCCTCCGAAGGGGAGAGCGCATCGATGGCGGCCTGGCGGAGAGAGATGAGCCAATCCCAGCGGTCAGCGTCGGTGAGAGGAATGCCGCTGCCCATCTTTTCCCGGTTTGAGTCGGTGTGGAACTAGAGAATCATACATGGTCAGTCCATCTCTTGATCTATAGTGAGGGGAGAGTGAACTTACATCATCGCCCTCGAGGAACGGGACTTGCAGTGCCTGCTGAATGTTCCGTCCAACGGTACTTTTCCCGCAGCCGGCTGGGCCCGTGACGACCCAGATATGCTGAACACTCTCGGGCTTGGGCGGTTCCGTCCACATGGGGGTGGTGGTATGGTTCATGGAGGTCTTGGAGACAGAGGCACTGCGAGCCATGTCTAAAACGGCAGCGTTCTTGCCCAAAGGCGGTTGAGGGCGTTCCCCGGCGGAGAGCATGGTGGATGAAGGGATCTTGAGGAGGATTGGAATTCAAAAAGAGCCGACAGCCCAACAATGGAAATGTATGACGCTGGAACCGGCAGCGCAATTCCGCGGAAGGGATGTGATTGGTGGAGCGGCAGGAGAGTGTTTGCAGGAATAAACGGTCCCTGAGGCGGTGGTGGTCGTAGTACTCAGGAGTTGCCGATGAGAGAGAGATTTAGGGACGGATATAGGGAGAAAAAGCGAGGGAGAGAAGAAAAGGGCTGAAGGATCCAAGGGTAATAATAGAAAAAGAAAAAGAAAAATGCAGAGACGACAGGCGCATCGGAGGCAGAATCAAGCTCCTTCAAGTATGAATTTTGGGCCGGTGGGTCATCCGTACCCGTAATTTTGGCTATCGGGCATGTTTGCCATTTTGCCTGGTGAGTACCGGGGGGGAAAGTGCCCTGTTCAGAATTCAGATGGGATTATTCTGTATGCCACAGTATTACCTGCCGAGTGGGGGTGGACAAAGGAGTCCAGCGGTCTGGTCAGTAGCGGCAGATCCGATCCCGCGGTATTTGATTTCTCCCTGCCTTGAGGTACTATTGGGTTCATTTGCCGGCTGTGGCCACCGTGCAGCCCCGGACGGTGACTTTGTCTCGTCTGGACGCAGGGCGGTCCAATCCGCAAGAATCATAGGAATAATAATCAGAATCCTGTCGGTCCATGCTGAGTAGGCAATAGGCATACTCCGTAAGAATGGTGACTGCATGATGTCATGTTTCGTGACGGTTCCCATACTGTATCGCAGTGGAGAGGAACCCCCACGCTATCGACGACGGCGACGATTCTCCCGCCTTCTCCGTCGCTTCTGCTGCTTCGTCGCGGTCTCCGCTCGAGTCCGTGGGATACATAAGAGCACGCAGTCGCAAGTCTCCCACTGTTGACGTCTGTTGCGAACAAAATTATTCCTAGTCGATCTGCCGATGTTCGCTGCCGCCCAAACATGATGTGTCGCTGACTGGCTGTACTTTAGCCCCGCGGAGGTCAAATTTTGGATCTGTCGATTTCTCCCTAGACCGTGTTTCCGCCCGGTGGTACCTGAAATCCGACAGGATGACCTACCTGCCTTGCGCTCAAGAACAATCATTCCGGGGAAGCCTGGCTCGAACCTGGGCCCGACCCCTGTCGCTTCTTACCGCATGATCACTGCGATGACCTTGACCTGACGGCTAGGTTCCCCGTCTTCTCCAACGGCACGCTATTGCTTTCCAGGCGGTTGCTTCAGCCTATGATGGGGTTTCCTTGGTAAATCCGCTCTTTGTTGTGCATTTACTCCGTACTAGCATTTCCGTTGGGCGCGTAAGTCGGCTCCCAATATCCTCTCCCATAAGGCTCCGGACAGAGTTCCCAGATTGCATCGGAGGTCCGTCATCCCAACTGTCTCATTGGGCAGAAATTTTTATTCAATCGGTCTATACTCCGTATAATTAAATCAATGCTCGGATTGTCGCAGAAGATCCAATATTCTCTCGAGCATTTTGAGTCGAGTTCTCAAAAGAGAAGGCTAGGGTCATCGCCGACCACCCGACAAAACCTAATATTTGTAGGCTTGTGACCATCCAAGCACCTTACTAAGGACACATAACCCTTGGGAATGTGAATGTGACTGTTGACTGGTATCAAGTTCAGTATTGATGTGTTTCACCCACCCGGTGTTTGCGCCGTAGGTAGAAGGTTGAAGACGCTGTCATCATCGGTGGTCTTGTGAGCCAGGCCAAGCAAATTTTCATCAAACATGCGCGAAGGATCAGCCACTCGTGTGCTGTCAATCAGATTCAAAACGAGGATCCGAAATCCCCGACCAGTGATCAATGTGCTATCAGATGTAGTAAACACTGCGTTATGCGCTGTAGGCTAGGCTCACAAACTTGAGCATGCCCGTGATTTTGTCAAATTGTTGATATGGAGTAGCGCCTACCAGCGGTGGGATATCGATGATGATCTAGAATGCGCAGTCCATGAAAGCCGAATGATCTGGGATGTATAGTGAGTAGTGAGTAGTAGAAGCATGTCTTCTCTTTGGAGAAGGCGGGGATCCCGACTTTGCTTACATAATACCGCATACGCCAACAGTTGCGATGCCGTCAATCGCTGGAAGCTGACCGGAGCTTCAATCCAATGCGTCTTTCCTTCCTTGCATGACAGGGCTTTTGCCGGACAAATACATTCAACTGCTCGGATCAATCCCGACTAGCCTCGACTAACCTTATCGTCTTCGCCATTTACTTCCCTCTGTCCCCGCCGGCTCGACCACCTGGCCCACGATGACCTCCCTCTTCTTCTCCACCCCCGTCGATATCGATGTCGTCCTCGAAGATAGCGACGAGCGCCAGACCGTTGACGTCAAACTTGACAAGGGCCGTCGCGAACGTGTCCCTCTCTACGAAGATGGCGAATCCGTGAAGGGTGCCGTGACGGTGCGACCGAAGGATGGCAGGCGATTAGAGCACACGGGCATCAAGGTCCAGTTCATCGGCACAATTGGTATGGCAAGACAATGTTGCATCTCTACAGCTGCTAGGCGCAAATACATCACCATCAATCGGTTCCCCCGATGCATCGGCCATCCCCCCCTACTTGTATATGAGATTGATCCGGTACGCTGACGCATGGTGTCTGCCTGATCTAGAGATGTTTTACGACCGTGGCAACCACTACGAATTCCTTTCCTTGGTGCAGGAGCTCGCAGCGCCGGGAGAATTGCAACACCCGCAGACGTTCCCCTTTAACTTCAAGAACATCGAGAAACAGTACGAGTCTTACAATGGTATCAACGTGAAGCTGCGGTATTTTGTCCGGGTGACAGTCTCCCGGCGCATGGCGGACGTGATCCGGGAGAAGGACCTCTGGGTCTACTCCTATCGCATGCCGCCCGAGACGAACAGCCCGATCAAGATGGACGTCGGCATCGAGGACTGCCTGCACATCGAGTTCGAATATTCCAAATCCAAATACCACCTGAAGGATGTGATCGTGGGTCGCATCTATTTCCTCCTTGTGCGGTTGAAGATCAAACACATGGAGCTTTCCATCATCCGGCGCGAAACCACGGGCTCTCCGCCCAACCAGTATAATGAAAGCGAGACGTTGGTGCGATTTGAGGTTGGTGTGATCCGATGAACCTAGGACCGTTGGGGCGAGAAATGTGAAGCTAATTCGGAGTTTTGAACAGATTATGGACGGTTCTCCTTCACGGGGTAAGTTGATTGACTGCATTAGCTTGACTTCTTTGATGCCGCTAAACGGGGGTCATCCGGGCCTTGACTGGTCGATTTCCCCCCGGCTGCGGCGGACCGTGTGATAAACTGGATGAAGCCCATGCTGATCGCTCGCAGGTGAAACCATTCCCATTCGTCTTTTCCTTGGCGGATTCGACTTGACGCCCACTTTCCGGGATGTGAACAAGAAGTACTCCACGCGGTATTACCTCAGCCTGGTACTCATTGACGAAGGTACGTGATGTTATGCAACTGTCGTCATGCATCGTCCGGACTCGGGACTGCATTGGCGCCTGAGAGGGACCGACCACCGAGCGGGTTGGCTCGGACTGCCCCGAAATCTTCGCATCCCACCAGGCATCCCACGGGGGGGTTCCATCAATAGCCGGTCGGCTACTGAGCGACCCTTTTCGGGCCGTGAAATTGAGCAGGGAACGGGGAGGCCCCGAATGGCCACCCCCACGCCATCCCGCTTTGGGATGCGGCTTCGCGTGGTCGGCCCCACTCGTCCCCAGTTTCTGCCCGTTTGTTTCAGAACCGCCTGGTACTCAGTACTGACCCCGTACAGATGCCCGTCGCTACTTCAAACAGTCCGAGATCGTTCTCTACCGTCAGGCCCCCGAGATTGCCTCCACGCCGCAGATCGCCCAGCAGCAAATCATCCAGCAGCAGCAACTTCAACAACAGCAATTGCAGCAGCAGCAACTACCCCCCGGTTCCGCCACCGCCGGTCCTGGACGAGAGACGTATCCTAGCCAGACCCAGACCCAGACCCAGACCCAGCCCGCGCCAGTCACTGCGCCTGCCGCATAGATTCTGGTGGTTGCTGAATTGTCTTTGTAGTGTTCTTCATATACCCTACCTACCACTGTATCCCTGCACTTCTCTCTCGTCTCGTCTCGTCTCGTGACGGACGAGCCCCCCTCCCTCCTTGACCAGATAAGCAAGCCTACTTACTCCGTTCATGTATCATTTCATCATGTGCCAAGAGATAGATCTTTATTAGCTCCTATCCGAACCCAATCTACGATCAGCGAGTCTGTAACCAATTCCAATTACCATATTGTGCAATATCTATCGATGTCACCCAATTCCGAGCATGAGGTAGGAAGGTGAAGGGGGTCTTCCAATACGATAGAAAATGGAAATCAAATAACAGAACATTGTATGTTGGACAAAATTAGAATCTTTCTATCTATGCATACCCCCCAACCTCATGTAGAACCTTCCCTAGAGCATGAAGAACCTCCCCGTCATCTTTTTCCTTGCCTGCCACCTGCACCGCCCGCACTACGAGAGGATAAATCCATTCTAAATGCATCTTGTGGCTCTGGTCGTCTGACGTCGCAGAGCCCGGGAGTCCGGCGAGACTGGGGCTCGTCGTCGGCGGCTGCGGGATGGCCGTGGGCTCGCTGCGCAGATTTACCATGCCCAGAAGCAAGTGCAAAAGGGCTCGGCGCGCGGGTGTGGGCTGGGGCATGAGGCCCCGGAGAGGCTGATCGGCAATGTACCCCTTCAGGGAGACGGCGGTGCGGAGGATGAGGTACGGCGAGATGGACCGGGCGAGGAGGATGCGTGCAGAAGTGTGCGGCTCGCTGGGGTTCCGTTCTGGCGCGAGAGCCGAGGCCAGTTCGAACAAGGTGTCCATGACGGCGTAGGCCATCTTGGTGCGCGAGGTCGGTGTGGGATCGAAGGTTCTTCCGGGTCGCACCTGGTAGAGGTCATGCAGGGGTTCGGTCTCCAGGTTCTGGGCCGGAAGGTCGAATCGCTGCGGGAGGTAAATGAAGGATGAGGACAGCAGGGCGCAGGCGAAATCGCGCCGGATGGCATCCGGGATGATAGATGCTCCAAGGGCTGGGATGACCAGCGTCTTTAATCTCTGGAAGGCATCGACGTCGAAAGTCTCATCGGCGAGTATGTTGGCTCGCGGAATTGCCACGGTTCGATATCCTTGAGCAGAGACTATGCCATTGGTGAGATCCACGACGACTGCCCAGAAACGAGATATTTGGGCATGGTTTGATTCTTCGTACTGCTTCTCCACGTAAGGAATTGCAACCTCAAGGATGCTGAGCGATGCGGTAGTGGACTTTCGCCATAAGGAAGGCTCGCGGTCTTTCCCGGGCCATTCGTACTTCTGAGAGACAGGGTTTGCGAGATGCTCCAGAGCAGTTGAGAGGGAGTCATTGGCAAAGACCTGCCTCTTAATTCCAAATTCGGCAATGTACCAACTCAGAAGGTCGATCACGCTTTTTGAGAATGCAACATAGGTCGGCACCCTTGAGTCACTGTTCGGCGACCATCTCGACAAGGCGGAATCGGCAAAATTTGCAAGACAGGTGAGAATCTCCGCCTGGGAATCCTCTTTGTCCACACAAATCGTTTTGATGCAGTCGACGATCAATGCTTGCAAGCTAGACGGGCGGTCGATGTCCGGCGAATACCGTGGAAAGATGGAGTTCCATGCCAGAAGCTGAATGTGCTGAAGGATCTTCTCGACGTGAGAATTTGTCATTTCGTCCTGATACAAACGATAGACTTGCTGGAAAGTCTTTAAGTAGGCTATCGAGGCGTCTTGGTTCGGACGCTCTAGGTCCAACAAATCTTCTCGGATGGCGGGATGGCCTTTAATCCATAGTAACCAGGCCGCTTCCAGGGACTGCTTGCTTAGGACATTGGGAGGCTGCACCCGAAGAAGAATATTTGACAGGCTGGTAAATACGGCTTCGCTAAGCTCCAAAGAGTTGAGCGCTGTCAGGTTCTGGCAGTGGTTTAGCAGGCGTTTCCAGGACTGGTCGAATTCCTCATCCTTGGTGATCGCTTCGAAGAAGTTTGTCAATAAACCCGAGAACCCTTTGATCGTGACAACGGCTGTTTCCACCCAGGAGATTAGCTCGTCTGGGCTACCCTGTGCCCCTGTGCTTTTTGCAGAGTTCAACTCGGTCTCGAGTTCATCTGTCATCTGAAAAAGAACCCGGTTGAGACATAAACGCCATGCCTTAGGAGATAATTGTTGGCCGTAGGCGTCGAAGATTCGAAGAAGGGTATGCACCGCACAATTCCTAATTTCCGATCTGCTATCCGTAGCAAGGTCCACAATCCGTAGGAGGAGTAATAACCAGAGGGCATTTCGAGAGATAGAATGATCTTCGTTCTTAGCCAGTATCACAAGCATGTCCTCGCTGACCGAAGCGTCGACACTGGATTCGATAGAAAATCGCTCGATTTGGCCCTGGAGAAAGTCGGATACATTCCAGAAAGAGGACGTCGTAGTTAGCGAGATATTGAAATCTTGCTGCTGTATAGCAAACTTCGAAAACGACTCCACAAGGTCCAGCCGACAAGGCAACGGCAAAAGTGCAATAAAATCGGACGCAATTAGTTGCAGAGACTTGTATGAAATGCGGATGAGCTGGTGCGAATCTGCCAACAGGAAAGTTTTGCGATCTTTACTGCTGACCGACGCTCTTTGGCGTCCTTCTGTTCCAGATTCCCCGAAGACACTCGAAATGAGATCAAAGACGATGGACCAGCCATCGACAAATGTCTCCGCATATTGTTCTAGGATACTTTTCAACGTCTCCAAACTCTGACTATGTATTTCGATGATAGGCCCAGTAGGAGAGCCCTGCCGACAGGCACTGGCATCATAGAGCAATTGAATTTGCTGTTTGAGTGTCTCGAGGTTCCTCTTTTGCCGGGAATTTCGTGTTTGATCAATGTCATCGGCCGTCTGTTTCATTGTCTGAAATATGAGGCTATTCAGAACTTCATTGGCGCGCAGGCGAAGATTCTGACTTATTTCTCTATCCGCCGCACTCGACATGAGCCTTCCTGTCAAAAGTTCCCAGGCGGCGCAGTCACTTTCCTCTAGCGATGAAAGTCTCTCCAGGTTGGACCTGCCTATTTCATTGCACTTTTCCAAGACGAACCGCAGTTCTTCGTCCTGGGTTTTTGATTTACCCAGTGCAAGAGAGACACGACGGGTGTTCTGGCGCATCAGTCCGGGACGTTGATGCGGCGACCGGCCAGGACTCGAATTGAGGTCAGGAGTGGCCGGTTGATCGGATTCCTCGGTGATTTCAGAAAGGTTCAACAACGCAGCCAAGAGATCCTGGAACGAGCTGCCCGGGTAGTCACTTGTGCTTTCAAGAAGCTTAGTTGAGGCTGCCTGCACGGCAATGATCTCGTTCCCAATGTTAGCTTTGGGAACATCACTTCCTGTGACGGATGATGGTTCAGCCGTACTGTTGAGGGCGGGATTTGTTTTCGTTGACGCTATACCGATTAATAGGTCTGTGTCCTGGAGTGTCCCCAAAATTATCGACCAGGCCGGCTGGTCCAAGGTAGGGCCAAGAGCAATTCCCAAATTAAGTAAGGCACGTAAGCATAGAAGGTTCCTGGTGCTGAGAGATACAGGCGTCTTATCAAAAGCGGTTCCAGAGGCCTCAGGTACGGGAGACCCTAGGGTGGGTGCTGGTATACTTTTCCGCTTTTCATCAGTTGTTTGGTTGGCAAGGGATGTGGAGCCAGTTTTCGAGGTAGACCCCGTTTTAGCAGCACCAGTCTCGGCTGGTACAGTTACTTTTCCAAGTGTTGTCAAAAAAGCGTCCCTGGGAGTGGACAACCGCAGAAGACCTGCCACATGGGCTAGTTTCTGAAAAGAGCGGACGAGATTGTGATAAAAGTCATCATCTAACGATGCGTAGAGAAAGGTTGAGCACGCTGCCAAAACAGCAGGCCAGCAGTTTTCGATGATTCCCGCACAAGTCTTGATTGCCCCAAGTTGGGGATGAGACTCTAATTGAAGCGGGTTGAGGGGGATGGGGGTTTTCTTGGCTCCGGACCTCTGGCCATTCTTGATTGAATTCGTCCTTTGACCTTCGTGGGAAGGACTGACGGGGCTAGTGGGTCCTGCATTTTGATCGGCACCTGTGATCCGATTCTTTCTCTTCTGCTTCAAGTCAGGCACCGTCAACGGAAGTATGAATCTTGCAAGCCCTTCGGCAAATGAGCTGATACAATTCAACACAAGACTGTAAATGTATGTTTCCGGCGGGGATGGTGGCTCCGTCTTATCGAGCAATTCCAGATACTGCGTGCGAACAACACTCCATTGGCTACTGATACCCGGTACACTAGCATCAGTGGATGGAACACTGGTTCCAATGACTCCAGCAAGTCCACCTGCTTCAAGAGTAATTTGCTCTTCGGTGATGGACCTGGAATGATCGGTCCGCAAAGGCACGGTAGAACGGCTACTAACACCAATCAACGAGGGCTTTTCAGACGATAGACGAACAAGTGCGGCCATGTGATCCTTAAGGATACATTTCCTTCCATCCTTGCCATCATAAAGTGAGAAAATGAGTCTCACAAGCCCTGGTTCTGCGTATAGCCCACGGAAAACCTCCATGCAAAGAATTCGTTTCCACGGCGAGGTACCATCGGGTTCAAGTAAATGCGTGAGAAGGCCCAATGCCATCTCGCACTCGGCAGTGAGGAGGGACATGTGCCTTTTGAGAAGCACAAGAAGGATCCGACAAACTCGGACCGTCAAAGCGAAGTCATGTCGTTCAGATAAGAACCTCACGATCATCGGCATAAGCCGGAGTCTCAAAACTTGCGCGAGCTCCATATGCCCAATAAATAAACGGCCAGAGTTGATAAGAACACTCTCGATGAGTTCGAGAGTGAACGTTGGAGACAGAGCCTTGATACGCAGAAAATGGAGCTGCTCGCCATCAACTATGCGGCAGAGATCGTCCAAGACCTAAGAAGTCAGCACGTTCAAGGTGTGCGGCGAGGTTTATAACTTACTCGCAAGGCATCATGTGCAAAGTGTCCTATCTTAATAGGATTACCTTCGACCTTGACTGTTACTGTTGGTTTGGACTCATCCCAGGTTTCTATATCCATGTCAGCGACCAGCTTAGGCAGCTCAGCGAGTTATAACATGGGAAACGCACTGTCCTCGTTGGGAACTCGCTCGAAAGTTGAAACAACTAGCTGCTGAAGCGTGGCGGCAGCCGTGCTAGAAAGCGCAAGGGTCTTGCTTGTTTGCAGAGTGGCACATATTTCGAGTGTGCTCACAAGCAGTTCACCACCAAGATCATCAGAATAGTGCTGCAATAGCGCGGGGAGTGTTTGCAGGATCTTCAATTGGATGTCCAAGCCTTGACACGTCAGTAACGCGATTAACGTAAGAAACTAGAGACTTACTCAAGTGAGTCGTTTCTTTCAGTCCGCCGAGGACATCTTCCAGTCTCTGGGAAGGTAGTGATCGCGACGCGACTAGCCTTTGGAGGCAGATGACTCCGATCCCCGAAAGCCTTGCATGGCGAGCGTGACAGGCTAAGATGAACGGGTCGACAAATTTCGGCTTCCGTACAAGATCTCGCGGGAGTTCAGTACATCTCCCACCAAAAGGAACCAACCATGTAAGCGTCCGGACTTACCTGCCGAGATCTGTGACTCAGAAGTCGATGGCAAGCTTTTCAGCTCATTGAGTGATTCTTCGGCCGCCTACACTTGGGGGTCAGCATAGGCACCATGACATGTATCCCTATTTCGTAGAGCTTACGTGTCGCAGGTCGGCATTCTTTCTCTTGGACTCTTGTATCAGGTTCAAGAGCTCCGCCTGCAAGAGCTGGGAGGACATTTCCGAGATGTGGTTGGTTTAGATCATGGCAAACGCCACCATTCAAATTGATGATCTATCAAGCAGGTAGCAAGCTAAGGTAGCTTTATGGGGTTGTTGACAGGATATCTGGCAACAGAACGAGAGCTGGAGCGAGCGCGACCGACACAACTTCGGAATTGGCTAGTAAAATACACCTTGTCTCGACAAACAAGTCATGCGTAGACCGGATACGCGATTCTGCGATGGCACTGCCGGCATTCGACAAGTCGCAGTGGTACTTCAACAGTGGCATCTCCGGCAATGCCAAGGCACCAGCGGAGATAGGGCCCCACGTGACATGGGCACCCCGTTATCATCACGTGTCCGGGTCTGCAGGAAACCGGGACGATACGCCTTGTCCGTCAAGGTGGGATAAAGTCGACGGTGCCCCTCCTTCGCCTCGTTCATAGATTCCCCTCTTCCCATCCGCCCCGACCCTTCCCCGGCCAAATCCCTTGTTGATACTCCCCACAACATTATCTTTCGACCTTCACACAATGGGTGCCAAAATCCCCAGAAACTTCAAACTCCTCGACGAGCTAGAGAGGGGCGAGAAGGGCCAAGGCGCAGGTAGATACGAGCCCTCCCCAATGCCTGTCAACTCACCAGAGATAGGGATACTGATGCAACTCCCAGAGGCATGCTCGTACGGTCTAGCAGATGGAGATGATGTGATGATGAGTAACTGGAATGGAACCATTCTTGGCCCTCCTCATGTTTGTTCTCGCCCTAAACCTGCACTACAGTGGTTCCATAGACCAGCTTCGCTGACCCGTATGATGATATAGAGTGTCCATGAGAACCGAATCTACAGTGTAAACATCCACTGTGGTCCCGACTACCCCGACAACCCCCCAACCCTGCAATTTATCTCGCGGGTCAATCTGCCTTGCGTTGATGCCCGAACCGGAAAGGTAACGCCCACTATGTGCTCTGGAAACATCGGAGTGGTGTGATTCTTATACTCGCCCAGGTCGATCCGACAAAGCTCCCGTGTCTTACCCAATGGAAGCGCGAGAATACCATGGAGACTATCTTGCTTGAGCTCAGAAGGTGAGTAAGCTGTGCTATTTTCCATGATGATCTAAATCCAACCCACGCTCCTCCTAGGTATATGGCCCTTCCGCAACATAAGAAGCTCGCTCAACCTCCCGAGGGCTCGACTTTCTAAAAAAAAAAATAACACAAAATAAAACTCGCCTTGTACATGGCCCGGGACCCCGATTCGGAGTACTATGGTTGGTTTTTGTGTCAGGTTCATGTACTTCTTGCTTCCTTGGCTTATTAGAGCGTGTACAGTCTTTGCATTATGGCGGGCATGGCGTGGTTTCTTCTGAAGCCTAGCTTCAAATATATCACAACCTAGAATCTTATTCCTTGCTTCCCTGCTTTTCTTTGCGCAATGAACCTTGTTGCTTTCGTAAGTTTGGGCTAAGCCCACAATGACCGACTAGTAATATTTTATTACAAGATGCAACGAGATATCAACTTCAACTATGCGTCTGCATGATGATAATTGTTAAATTCAAGAATGGCTATCATGTTTCTATGTGATGCTGGCTGAAAGTGAACACGCAGTGAGTCGTGAGGACCCATGACCATTAAACCCAAATTCCGGGTGTTGAAGTAAGTCACCAAGTCCGAAAAGGATGATAAGACCCGGTACTCCTTTAGTACACTAGAGGGAGGGTGTAGATTTAGTATCGATGAGATGCGGAATGAATGAGGGTACCTGCACGTGACCGACCGCGGCATCTACTCGTTTCCGCAACAGAGGTCAAGTCAACCTCCGAAGAGCATGGCGTTTCACAAATCAGTAGTCCCGAAGTATTCGGGGGCGCATCGTTTTGCATGTAAGTTCCTCACGGCTTATCGTGTCCATACCATAGCATGCTAACAAAATACTTGTTTTCTAGGCTTAGCTCTTTACCGGGGGCTTCTCCGACAATGCGCCAACTTACCAACCACTATTCCCGAGCTCAACACCTCTAGATCCCTCATTAGACAAAGGTTCCGGAGGTACAAGAAACTTCAGAGTCCATCCCAGTCTGTCAATGCGTTGAAAGCTGGATACGAGGTACCCCCATTTCTTTCCCTCGTTCAGTGGTCCAATAGCTCATTTCTTTCTCTCTTTCAATTTGCAGGCCTTCGACCTCTTACACTCGGCTGCCCACGGAAACCAGAATGGCATACAAAGCATTACGGACCTCCTCGCAGAAGCGCAGTCGATCCAACAGCGAAAGCTTACGGCGCAAAAAGCACTTGCGGAAGCAAGACCCGCTAGACCTCCGAACAAAGCAGAACGAAAGAAAGCAGAATTCCAACGCCACCAAGATCTTACTGCCCATCATCATCCAGATACAGAACCTATACTCTCCCGTCCCCGTCCCTTCGTGAGAGGCAAGCGCCACATCCCTAGGTTTGTCAGTGCGCGAGGCATACCATTTTTGCGCATCAAGAAGTACCAACCAAAGAACCTCAGTGGCGTGATTAGAACCAAACTTAACAAGCGATGGGCTTTGGTTCTGCGTCGTCATAGATTACAGTCGGAATTACTCTTTACCGAGGACGAAGACATGTGGGATGTATTGACCGGTTGTCGGGAACATGCCGATTGGACTTCGCCGGTTGAGGATGCTTTTTTGGCTGTTGAGAAACAGATTCTCTCCTCAGATCAGAAGAACCGAGCACTAGCCGAAAAAATGTGGAAAGTCGTTCTTGCTGAGCGCGAATTAGCAGAGAAGGAGCAAAAGGAAGCAGTGAGGGAAAACAGAATAAGGGAAGGCAGAAAGAGGCTAAGCAGTTCACCCCCACTGTACTTTCGTCGGGTGCTGGTGTTAGAGAAGAAGAGAACAGAGAAGAAGAGAATAGAGAAGGCGATAGCAGATTATGAGGGAAAGAGAGCAGAGAGGGAGAGAAAGCAAACACAGAAGGAGAGAAAGCAAGCAGAGAGGGAAAGCAGAATGAGGAAAAGTAGATCACTACGGAACCTTTTTCGTCGGGTACTGGTGTGAATACTTTTCAGTCAGATCAGGTTAAGTGCTGTCTGAGATTCATCCATTGCACATATCACGCACCCATTACATCCTCAATTCGTGGCAAACAAGCAACTCGAACATTTGGATGTACAGGCGCTGTCTCGACGTCAAACAGCTGGCATTACGCGGTACGCCGCACGAAAGATATGGCAGGCGAACACTTCCCTTAAAAGTGCCTCGCATATACTAGGCTAAAGCTCATCAGTATTCGCCTTCCATCTTCAATGCGAGCATGCAGATCCATTCGGCTGTCTACGAATATCGGATTCGGGGTCTACATAACAGCAGCCGTGCATTATTGACATAGTTGGAAGATTGGTTCGACGACAGTCTCATCTAGGAGCAATGTACATGGTCAAAATATATAATCTTGATCTCTAATTCTCCTAGTTTTTCATCAAGGATAATATGTATTTACATTGACCACACTTGCTGGCATAGCGCTGAAACGTAAGAACTGAACATTCCGGGCAGGAGGGAAATAAGAAGGCTTTGCTCAAGAGCCGACTTCCTAAGCAGCTATTTTCATCTTCTCAACAGGCGGCAAAGCACTCTCCTCCTCTTCATCAAAGTCGGCCTTTCCAGCCAATCCCTGCTCCCATAGTTCCCTACCCGTCAGTTTCTTCTCTTCCTTCGCCGGCGTCTTCGTCTTCGATTTCTTGTCGTCCGCCTCCTTCTCTTCCTTCTGTCTCCTCTCATCATCCTCGATCTCCTGCTTGAACCTCGCCTGCCACTCTAGGAATGATTCCCGAGTGACAGCCGTGCCCTGGAACTTGCGGTTCTCCTCCTCCTCCACCTTCGCAGCCTCCATCTCCTTCTGCGCATGCACGGCGTTTACCCGCTCCGACATGAGCTGCTCGGCGCTCTCTTTCAGCGCGCTCACTAGCGTGAACACCATCGCCATCCCGATATTCTCCTCGATCGTCGGCTGCAGCGTCTCGAGCAGTTGGTCCCGATCCTCCTGGATATCTAGCCGCGGGTGTTTCGGCGCGTTAGGAGGGGCCGAGATGTCTAGCTCCGGGGCCACGTCGGGGTATTTAGGCGGGTACGAGATCTGCAGCACGAGCACCGGTTGTTCTGTTTCTTCGACTTCATTTTCGGGCGTATCGAGAGCGATCGATATCCGGTATGCGGTGTCAGATATGTCTAAATAGGTGATAGATCTTGGATTAGTGCCGGTGGGGAAAATGAGGGGTTTGATGCGCAGGGAATCGCGATCGTGGTGATTGTCTTTTTTTTTCTGGTACTTACCTGTGATTTCTTCAGGGAAAATCGAGTCGAGCACCTCGCGCTCTTCGATCTGGTCTTCGCGGCCCATTTTGCCTCAATTCTGCCGCCGTGCGGATAGTATGGAGGGGTACGAGGGACTAAGGTGGGTGTGAGGGATTAAAGTCGGCGAAAAGGGATTTCAACGTGGAGCATGCACGAAACAAAAAAGGCGATCGGAGTCTCGTCACAGACAGAGACGGAGAAAAATGAACGGCGACAGGAGATTCCCTTGAGGCGGGATTTGGGGACGACAGGGCAGGACTTCAGGCCGTCGAGTCCATTGAATCTTCAGTCCCACATGCAAACGGAGCAAACACGATAAGAACCCGCCCAAAATTGTTCGACCCGAAAAGGGAATCCTCTTTTTTCTCGACCGGCAAAGACAAGACTCTCCCCGTCTTTATATATTGAATACTTGCTAAAGTTGAACCTCTCTTGTTATATTGCCCATTCTTTGGAATTAAAGAGTACGTTTACATCTTGAATTTTTTTTCTTTTCTCTCTCTCTCTCTCTTGATTTATATATTCTTTTCTTTTTGTTCCCTGTCCGCTAGTGATATCATGGGCAAACCCAGACCACCCCAGAAAAAGAAGAAGAGCTCTAAATCCAAATCCGTTCTCAGCGCCGGTGGCTCCGTCTCGAAACAGAAAATGAACGAAGACCCTTCGAAGCTACTCGACCAAGCGACAATCCTCCTTCAAACGGGACAGGCCGATGGCGCGCTCGGATTAGCCCAACAGGCCCTCGACAATGCGCCGGCCAATTCGCCCGCTCAGCTTTCCGCCCTGAACCTGGTCGGCGAGATCTACGTGGAACTGGGAGACATCGATACTGCGCGGGAGCAGTTTTTGCATGCGGTTGAGCTCGATCCGACGGGCACGATACCCGAGTCCCAGGGCGGCGGGGCAGAAAAGTTCTTATGGCTGGCTCAATTGAGTGAGTCGGGAGGCAAGGACAGCGTGCAGTGGTTCGAGAAGGGTGTCTCTGCCCTTCGACATGTGATCGAGCAGTTGGAAGCGAACGCTAGTCCTGCGAATGCCATTGAGTTGGATGGAAAGAAGCGGAAGCTGGCCAACGCCTTGTGCGGCGTGGCGGAGATCTACATGACCGACCTTTCGTAAGTCGCCTACGATTGCCCTGGAGCTCCTTGTTGCTTTGCTCTGCGGGTTTGGAGTTGCTGACAATGACTAGATGGGAGGAAGATGCGGAAAGCCGATGCGAATTTTTAATTACGGAAGCTCTCAAGGCCAACCCCAAGGCGCCTGAGGTGCTGCAAACCCTTGCCTCCATTCGGATCTCACAGCTGCGAACAGACGATGCCCGAGAGGCACTCACGAGAAGTCTGGCTATATGGAAGGATCTGCCGCCCGATGACCTCACCATTCCGGACTTTGCGACTCGCATCAGTTTGACCCGTCTGCTCATGGAGGTGACTATGGAACTCGAGGCCCTGGAGGTTCTAGAGCGTTTGATTCTCGAAGACGACCAGAGTGTGGAAGCATGGTATCTCGGAGGATGGTGTCTCTACCTTCTGGCGGAGAAGCAGCAGGCCCCGAAAGACGCCGAGGCGGAGGAATCGCCCGAGGCTAAACGACAGGCCTCACTTGTCGCCAGTCGAGAATGGCTTAAGCAGGGTCTGGCTCTCTACGAAGTGCTCCAGTATGAGGATGAGAGGCTGAAGGAACACGCCACGGAGTTGGTCCAGGACATGAACAAGGAACTAGGAGAGGAGATGGACGAGGAAGAGGGCGAGGAAGGAGAGGAGGACTGGTCCGACGAGGAGATCGAGGCCGAGTCGGACGGGGACCATGAGATGGCGGATTCATGAAGAACGACAACACTGCACAGGGGGAGGGAAAGAGTATATTGTGATGAGACCCAAAAAAGCACCTTTATGACATGATACCAATAGAAAGAAAGGAGAATTCCAGTCGATGAGCCTTGAACACTAGAACTAGGACATACTAGTACTCGAACTAAAGACATAGTAAAAGTAATCAGATCAGGCGATCGGAAAAACCCCGGGCCGACCGCTTTCCCCGGACAAATCGCAGAGCCAAATTTGACCCGGCAGTTCGACCGATGCGTGGCAAATAGCCCAATGTGAGTGAAAGTGTTGTTTTCGAGGCTGCTGGAAGTGTCCGATCTCCCTGACAGGATGGACCCGGTACCAGCGCCCGGCGGGGAGCCCTCGTCGTTGCAGAAGATCGAGGTGGATGCCGCCAACATGTCCGCCGCGGACATGGACGACGAGACGAATCTCACAACGGAGACGGTGGTCGCGGTGGATAAAGACGTGTCTCAGTCGGAGTACGAGACCGATAGCGACGCCTCGGGCGACGAGTGGGAGACCCAGTCTCTCTACGAAGATGCCATCCAGGTTCTTCGCGATGATCAGCTGCGCGACGGAGGTAAGCTTCTTTGATAGCCTGGTCCATGCGCGCCCATATCCTTTATCATTCACCCAGCTCACTCCACGCCGTTTGGCTTGAACAGTGCCCGATGCTTGCACCTTGGAAGAGGCCGTTGCTTTCCGAAATCGGCTCCATGAAATCGGCAAGGCTGCCTTTGTTGGAGAAACCATCGGCCAAGATACAGTGACCGCTAAGAAGCTCTGCACGGCGTTCGGCATCATGCCCCCGCCTTTCCTCGAAGGCGCGCCGGATGAGGCTTATCATCCTCTCCTAGCGATCGCGATCTCGCGGGAATTCTCCAGGCGTCAGAAACTTCCCCAGTACAATACGATCGAGGATGCGGTCAGGTTACTTCAAGAATCCAAGAACATCGTCGTGCTGACGGGTGCTGGCGTGAGTCTCTTCTGTCCTGTAAATGCGAATGTCGTGAAGGACCTGCGCTGACTGGCTTTCTAGATCTCTACGAGTCTCGGTATTCCCGACTTTCGATCGAAAGACACCGGACTTTATTCGCAATTGGAGCATCTCGGTCTGAGCGATCCGCAGGAAGTCTTTGACATTCAAGTCTTCCGCGAGGATCCTAGTATCTTCTTCTCGATCGCAAAGGACATCTTGCCTACCGAGAAGAAATACTCGCCGACCCACGGGTTCATTCGGCTGCTGCAGGACAAGGGGAAACTCCTCACCAACTACACCCAGAACATTGACAATATCGAGGCCAATGCAGGCGTGCTTCCCGAAAAGATTGTCCAATGCCATGGCTCCTTTGCGTCCGCCACGTGTGTGAAGTGCAAGTATCAAGTCCAGGGAGATGCAATTTTCGACGAGATCAAGAAGGGGGTCATTCCTGAGTGTACGGTATGCCGCGAGAAGATCGCGGAGGATGCTTTGAAGGCGCAGGGCATGAAGCGCAAACGTAGCACCAACGGAACACACAAAAGCCGCAAGAATGAAGGCGAGGACAGCTCGGAAGAAGAAGATTATGAAATTCCCACTCCGGGTGTGATGAAGGTATGAATATAGATGATGTGCGCTTGGCTTGCTTCTCCATTCGCTGATATAAAAATAGCCGGACATCACCTTCTTCGGCGAGGACCTTCCCGACGAGTTCGGCCATCGTCTTCTCCATCATGACCGCGACCAGGTGGACCTGGTGATTGTCATTGGGACCTCGTTGAAAGTGGCCCCTGTAGCGGAAGTACCGGGGGTGCTGCCTCGCACCGTGCCTCAGATCTACATTTCTCGCACCGTAAGTACCAGAAACAAACCGTGTCCTTCCCCAGAGAAAGTGGATCCCAAGCTGACCATAACCCAGCCTGTATCGCACACTGGCTTCGATATCGACTTGCTAGGCGACTGCGACGTGGTGGTGTCCGAGCTTTCTCGCCGAGCTGGCTGGGAGTTGAAGCACGAGATGATTCCCCAGGGCGAGAAGGTTGATGTGACTCCAGTGGAAGGATATGAATCACGACATGTGTTTAAGGTTGTTGGCGTATAGCGGCGGTGTTTTGTCACGGAGCTCTTTAGTATTCAAGAGACGGCGTATCTCGACGGGTTATTTCGCAAGGGACTATGAGGGATTGATTTGCGTTTGATTTTGAATGGACTTTTCGTAGATACAGATATCTTTCGGGCTGCTGCGGTTTGCTGTTTGATAAACTCTTTGATAGAAGGCGATTGGCTTTTTGACAATTGAGAATCTGAGTTCTTCCTCCATGTTTTAGTTCACAACTTCTTGCATCGACAAGCAAGAGGCCCGTAGGTTGTGGAGGGCTGTGGTCATCGAGCGCATCAAAGAGAAAGCGGGATCTTTCCGGCAACGTCAAGAGAGAAAAAAAACTTTCCCTTCCAAATTCTTCCCCACCAGAACAGCATCTGGGAAGAGGCAACCATCCACGTGTTACAAGGGTCTCGATTGAAAATACACGACTTTATCCCCAGGGCCGCAGTCCGGCCTAGTGGACGCAATCGTCATGGAATATCTGATCCGCTTCGCGCAAGCCCACGAGACGTTTCGGCGGCCGGAGATCAATGCCCTGGCGTCTCTAGCGGGCATTGATCTGGAGATTGTCTCTTATGATCAATTTGTAGGTGTCTTTTTCAATTTAATTTTACCTTTTTTTTTGTTCCCCCGTTGCTTTCTTCCCTTATCAATTGAGCTTTGACTGCACCGAATTCCCCCCACCTTGGAGATATTTTCACCCCGCGATCCGTCCAAGAGATATGCATCACCAACTAACCGCGCTTCTAGTCACCATATTGTATCGTCAAACTCCCCGATGAAACAGCTGCGAGAACTCTCGTCTCGCGGAGCATTCTAGTTAAGGACATTTTCGAGCTCTGGGGCCACGGCATCAATTACGATGAAGTGCACGCCGACAACCGCAGGCGGACGGAGCACCGCTGGAGCGAGTTCAAAGAGCGCTCGTTCCGTTTCAGCCTAGAGTCTTTCAGCGGCAAACGCAGCATGGAGCAGAGGCGCGAAATCATTCAGTCTTTCTCCTACATGGCCTTCACGGGTCCCATCCGCATGAAGAATCCAGACGAGGATTTCTGGGTTCACGAAGACTATCTCTCGCAGGTGGAATCCGCAGTGAAATATCCTGATGCGCCGCGCCCTCAGGGGCTGAATCTAGAGCCGAAGGGTATTTACTTCGGTCGTTGGATCGCAAACAGTCATCGGGATATCGTGAACAAGTATGATCTAAAAAAGCGTCGATATATCAGCACAACGTCCATGGATGCCGAGCTGAGTCTCGTCACGGCCAATATGGTGCACGCGGGCCCCGGAAGACTCTTCTACGATCCGTTCGTTGGCACGGGGAGCTTTTGTGTAGCGGCGGCGCACTTTGGGGGCTTGACTTTCGGCTCAGATATCGATGGGCGCAGCTTTCGCGGTCGAGAGACGAAGAAGGGAGACCCGATTGGGCTGGCATCGAACTTCAAGCAGTATGGAACGTCGAGCAAATTCGTGGATGCGTTTACTTCGGATCTGACAAATACGCCCCTGTTCAACCGCCAGTTCTTGGACGGCATTATCTGTGACCCGCCTTATGGAGTGCGTGAGGGTCTTCGGGTTCTTGGAACTCGTGATGGCCGTGGGAAGGAAGAGGTGGTCATTGATGGCGTACCGGCTCACTAGTATGCATTCACCACGTCTGCTCTTACCCTTCAATTGCGTCTAACAGTGACTGTAGCCGGCCGGGCTATATCGCCCCCAAGAAACCGTACGGGTTCGAGGCAATGCTGCACGATATTCTGGAATTCGCTTCGCAGACCCTCGTCACGGACGGGCGACTGTGCATGTGGATGCCTACATCCGGCGATGAAGACGTGAAGTTGATGATTCCTATGCACCAAGACCTAGAGGTTGTCAGCGTTTCAGTGCAACCCTTCAACAACTGTAAGTGCCATATTCATAGATTTCTTCACTACCTGCAGGCGGGTGCTAACAGTTCAAATAGGGGCACGTCGACTTATCACCTACCGAAGACTCCCCGAAGGCCAAGTCTCGGACGTGACGCTTGGACGACAGAAGGGCGATGACCAGGGGGTCAGCGCCGACGACCTGAACGCTTTTAGGAGAAAGGTCAGTTAACATCCTACACTTGCTCGCTACGGAAGTCTGTCTAACACATCCATTTTGCAGTATTTCTCAAGGAACCACAAGTCGGGAACTGAAAGTCCCGCATCGCAATGAAGACACGAATGATCTAAACAAAAGTATATATCCTATCTAGATGAGACATAAACCAAACCCAAACCATACTGCAAATGAAATAAATCAAATCCATTAAGCGCCAACGCCTCTGAATGTAGTACATCGCCCGATTCAAAAACCTCATCCGATCAAAGAAGAACAACCCAGGAGAAGGATGCCGCTCCAAACAAAAAACATCACAGCTTCCCCAATGGCCCCTTCCTGCCGTCATCACCACTACTCTCCAGATCCAGATCAACGCCCTCCTCCACCCTCACTCTCCCCACCTCCTTAGCCAGCTCCTCTCTCAACAACGCCGCCAATTTCTCCCCCTCTTCATCATCCAACTCATCCCTCTGACCGCGGCCAAACATCACGAAACTCACATTCCCACCGCTTGGCGGCGCATTCGTCGCCGGCCGAGGAATCACATGAAAGTGAACATGGGGGACGAGTTGCGCGGCGGTGACACCTGTTCATTGTTAAATTAAATTCCATGCAATACGTAAACACAGATGCATAGAAGCAGGCCGGATGGCAGTCTAAGACAGGGAAACTGCATAGAATAAAGAAGAGGAAGGGAATTACCATTATTCTGCACCACGTTCCAATTCCAATTCGAACTCGAACTAGACTCGGACACAATCTCTTCCCCAAAGAGTGTTCGCATCGCGACCCGTGAGATAATAGGGAGCCATTGGCCGATCTGAACCAGGCGATCAGCATAGAATATAGATATATGTGTAGGTTTGGAGATAGAGGGGGGGGGGGGGGGGGGGGAAAGAAAAAAAAAGAAAAAAAGAGAGAGAGAAAACCGCGAGGGGGAGAAAAATATAAAATAAAAAATACTCAACCAAAAACAAAAACACCCACGTCTGA